ATGGAAGTTAAAACTTAGAATACATCATTTTTGTTCATGAAGTCATTCAAATATCACTGTTTTAATAGCTTTATAAACAATGAAGTGAGGTCTCAGATTTTATGACATGAGGATGTTCACACAAACTGCTTTTTGTAGATACTGAATATACATACATATTGCATGTATTTTCTATATCTGCCTATATCTTTATACAAATATGTATGGGATTTAGCACACAAAATCATTTACTAATTGCATAGCAAAACACACCTAAAGTGTGTTGAAGATATTTTATAGAAAACAAAAAAAGAAGTTTTTCAAGGAAAGGAGTAGTGTCACTGAGTTTAAATTCATTTCAAATCCTTCTATGAGAAGGTAGGACAGAAGTATACAAATTTGTGAAAATGTCAAGATCTATTTAAGGAATATAATGGCTAATATTACATAAAATAATACAGTCTCATTTAAGCCTTAAGAATCAGATGTTATATATATACTGAGCAATAAAAGCAAGTAGAATTTGTCTGTTCTTATTGTTTAAACGTATTTTCCAAAGGTGACCCCTAAAGGGACATTATTTATTCATCTATGTTATCTCACTGGGCTTTCCATTCTGTACTTGAGACTTAGTAAATTGATTCACATTTCATTTCATGTGAAAGTGCCCTGATTGAAATTAAGATTCTGACTCATTTGAGGAAGTCCCAAGATCTTGTATTTCTTAAAAGTTTTGAAATGATGGTGAAGCTACTGACCCTCAGGTCACACCTTTGGCAGCAACAGTCTAGAGTATCTGAGGAGAAGTAAGTTCAATTTCTTCAAATTTACTAGAATAGGCATCTTGTGATGGTAGTTGAAGTCTCTGGCTTTTTCTTCTATCTGGCACACCAAGAAGAAAATTCTCATGAAACACAATTGTGAACCGTCTACCTGGGTTGACAATGAAGCTTATAAGAAACAAGGTCAATCCTAAGTGAGAGTGTATTTGTGAAGCTGGGCTCTTGTGTGTGTTTCTAAATGTACAGTGAAACCTCCACATGTACATCATGTTGACAGAAATGTGCCTGCAGCCCTCCTGTGACTATCCCTAACTTCAGCTTGTGCTCATCTAAGAAAACCGAGTTTACAGAGTCATCAGGTTCAAACACACCAAATCTCTAAGGATAAACCTCAGCTTATTCCACACATTTTAGCGGGCTCCATGTTGATACCTTTAACATTGCCTGGAATTTGGAGATAAGCCCAGGATTAGTCCTGCTTTGGAGTCATCGTGAAACCTTGTTATAGGGCTCAAGTTAAGTTGTTAAAAATATTGCTATCAGCTTAGCTTAGTTAGGGGAAAACCACGCACTCACTTGCTACAGTAAGGTGAGCTTTAAATAATAAAAGCAAAGCAGGAGTTATTGAAAATTTACCTGCAGGCTCCAATTTCAATGTTTTAGAGATGGTAGGCTTATTTCCTGATGCTAAAACAGTATTTCTCACCAGTCTTGCCTTGTGAAAAGTACCTAAACCGCAAAACCCTGAGTGGGATATGGACTTGAAAAAAATAACTTTTGAGAACTAGGTCAATCCTACTTATGCAGATTTTTGAGGAAACCACACAGTAATAAAACAGAATTATTCATAACTGCAAGAAATTTTAGTGTTTTCTTTATAACAGAATTTGCCAAATTACTGTAATATATCAATGTGTTAGAAATAGTTATATCCAAGTGTTAATGCACATGTGCTGCTAACATGGAGAAAATATTGTCAAGCCTCATTTTTGTCATGTGTCACAATTCTATTGACATCTAGGACCTAATATGTAAAGCAGGAAATTTTGATTAAGTCTCATCTAACTTTTATTGCCTTTGGCTAAGGGCTATTGCAGAATATCCAGAAGATGTATGCTGGTAAGGTGTGAGGTCGCATACTGAAAGGAAATAGGATGAGAAGGTATTACTGAAAATAAAGTGTAAAACTTCAGAAAAAATTTCCTCAAGGAAACCAACCTATTCCCTGTGTCTTCCTGGACTTTAAATTTGCTTAGCTTATTTGTTTTGAGTTTTAAAAAGTTTGAGGAAAAAAAGTAATTATAAGATTTTAATTTATGAAAATGTCCCAAACAACTAATGAATACTGATACATATGCTGTTGTATATCTATCTATCTGTCTATCTATCTATCTATCTATCTATCTATCTATCTATCTATCTATCTATCATCTATCTATCCATCATCTATCTATCCATCATCTATCTATCTATCTATCCATCTATCTATCTATCTATCCATCTATCTATCTATCTATTTATCTATCTAATCTCTATATATGTATGTTATTAATCAGAGAATTAATGGAATATCTATATATCTAATTTAAAAAAATATTTAAGTAGCTCCTGCCTTAGAGGATCTGGAATTAATGCCAGCCTTAGGATAACTTCTTAATATTATCATGGTAAAAATCACTTTTAGAAAAATATTTATTATTTATTTATTAAACACTCCTGTAAGTAAATATTTATTAAACACTCCTGTAAGTCCTCTTGCATAACACTGGCAGACATCAAGATCTCCATTTTTATTAAATTCTTGAGATTTTACTTAATTGAAATACCTGTAATAAGTTAGTAATTTCATATGGGAGATTCTTTCTGTTTAAGAACTCCAAAAGTTTCCAGAATATATGAGTTATCAAAATTAGTCATCATGTGTATTCCAGATGATTTGTTTCTGAAAATAGCTAGTTGACAGATGAACAGAGACACTAATAAATATGAATGTGCAGAGTGCATTTGATGAAACTAAAAATGCATTTTCAAGAACCTATGGAGAACATTTTAGATTCATAGGCGATCAGTTGGTATAAAACGGATACAGGAAGCTAACGGCTCAGCTGTTTATTCCATATTTCACTTGGTAATTTGACCACCCAGAACATACTTTACCCCGTGAAGAGACATATCATTTTCTCATTGGTAAAATGATGGCAGCGCTAAATGTTAACTAACTTAAACAATGTCATATAGTTAGAACTATGAAGTAGTAATAACATTGGATTATACCAAATAAATTTATCAAAAGATATTATAACTCAGAACAAAAACAAGGAAAAGGTATTTCCCTGTTTCATATGATTTTGTAAGATTACATGGACATTTTAATCACTTATCTCTGTCAATATTTAACTTTACATTTCATTTTTGTAAAAATAGGGCTTACACCTGGAAAGCTGTGTATCAGCTACAGCCTGGGGCAGATGTCATGTCCAGGAGTCATTGGCAAAAACAAAACAGACTCACAGACTCTGATTTTTATGTGTGCTTTTTGTCTTGTTTAGTTATTTTTTTTATTTTATTAGGATTTTTCATTCATTTGTTTTGGATTTTGGACTTTTGTTATTTTGCTTTTGTTGGTGGTTTTGAAGGATAGAGGAGAAGGAAAGGAGAGAGAAGATAATATTGGATAGGCAGAGGTGGGTTATTTACCTAATTTCCCATCTAGGTAAATTTTCTTTTGTAGAAATTCAGTTGAAAATATGTCTGAATGTATTCCACATGCAATGCTCAAAAAAAAAAAAGCCACATTATTTTACTCTCATGCATTTCCTTATGTAATACCACAGGGTAAAAATTCTGTTGTAATAAACAGTTGACCAGACAAAATGAATTATGCAGAAAATTACCAACAAGTATACTGTCTAATATCATCTGCCACCAGCAAACCCTAAGACCATTCACTTGGTCATCTGCAACCTCAGATTTTATTAGGTTTTTCACTTCTTACAGTTTTATTTTTGTTTGAGATAAAGGTGGCTACTTTGAAAAAGTTAACATTAAGTTTTAAAAAATGAAGTAAATTTTAAAAGACATTGACTATTATACTTTAACATATTCAGTGTTGTTCAGAGGTAGTATATAATATATACTGCTCCTAAGAAACAGAAGGGAGAAATAAAATCGAATAGAAATGACCAAGGTGGCCACTTATTCTAGAAAAGAATAATGTTAACTTCGCTCACTTGGGACATGCAAATTTCACCACGTATTGATTTGAAAGTCCTCCCATTAGCATTTCAAGCCAATCCTCCTGAATATCAGTACACTAAACGTTATTTCAAATAGCATGTAAACATCATGGAAAGACAGGATGTCTTCTACAGATGACACTTCAGTTTTATGGTATCAGGGTGGGGTTTTCTTCTGTGATGGAATGATAGTATGGACACAAACTATTGCCTCTCTTCCTTGCAGACACCATGTTAGATAAAGCACCTTCATGTGGCAAACTATAGCACAGAAATGTATACTCATTAATATATGAATAGCTTCAAAGTTCTTTTTCTTCTATTTATACAGACAAAGAGAGGCTTTTCTATGTTTACAATGTCAATTCCTTATTTAGGTCGAGTATAACATATGAAATTTAACTCTCAGAAAACATTTTTAATTTCATCCCCTGCCTGATGAGCCTAATTGGATTTTTACCAGGCTGATAATCATTAATATTGTGTGGATTTTCTCTTATGCTGTTGTATCAAATTTTTTGTGGTAGTAGATTTGTGTCCCTTGTAACTTGTAATATTTGTGAAGTCACACAAGCATAGCCTGAAGAGTGTATTAGCCTAGAAAGCAGCAAGGTACAATACTTTTTGGAAACAGAACCACACTCTGTAGATTTACATGAATGCCTGTCTACTGACATGCGCCTATAGTAACATAGTTTTCAGGTTTATCATGCCTGAAAGTAGAGCTAAACGCATTTTCTCAAGTACTGCCTGATTTTCAATAGAAAGCAATGTAAATTTCTTTTCATCGGCAACATCTTCAATGCTAGTAGTTTCTCATTATGTTCCTTTTGCAATTGGTCAACACCGTTCTGCTATCGCAACGTATGTAAAACCATACGTAAAACTACACAATCAACTTTCCCATGGGATGGGAAATAAAAGGCAACATTCTCTTTTCAAAAAGCCGTTCATGATTGTGTGCAATTACAACCTCAGATAAAATGTTACCAGTGCAGCTTACCTCTATCACTGAAGTCATCGACGAGAATGATTTCTGCTATCAGACTCTCTGGGGTTCTGTTGATTATACTGTGTATGGTCCGCAAGAGTGAGGTCCAGCCTTCGTTGTGAAATGGGATAATGATGCTGGTGTTTGGCAGCCGTTCAAGGTACATCTTGTGCTTGCAGCTAGAGAAAATGGGGGATGAAAAAGGTGTCCAATGTAAAGCTGCAACACAGATCACACTGTAGTATATACACTGTGTTATAGATAATGATAAAATCATGTGTATTTGTCTAGCATTTTCCAACCAGGCATTGTGAATTATAACATTCTTCTCATTCATGAATCTCTATTTGATCGTTCTTACTCTCATTTTAAACAAACATTTTGCATTTAGTGACTCAAATACTTCAAGACATTGAGATATTGTACTCTTGATAAAATTCATAGGTCTTATGCATATGTGAGCATGTGTCTGTGCACACCCATGACTCCGTGTGAGAGAAGGGTGGTATAAAGCCTGTGTACATGTGTATAAGAGAGTGTGCTCGCCTTTGTAGGCACATGTGAGAGCCCAAAGTTGACGCTTGGTTGTCCTTCTCTATTATTTTCCACTTAAACATTTTTTTTTTTGTGAGAAAGCTTTTCTTGCTGAATCTGGAATAGATTCCATTTTAAATATAGTGGTTGGCTAGCGAATTGCTGATCCACTGTTCTCTACCCTCCCAGAACTAAGGGTACTGGAAGGTGCTACTGTATCCAGCTATTTACATGGATATGGGGATCTGAACTCAGGTCTCTGTGTGTGCGTTTATAATAAAGTCTTTACCCAATAAGCTATCTCCCCATGCCTCTACATTTTAATAAAAATAAATATAAATATAAAATATTTAAAATAATATCAATGGAAGATATGATTAAGATTTAAACGAGATTTGAATTTTCTGCAAATTGACTTCTGTTTTTTGTTAATAGGTTATTTCATTTACTTATGTTTCAAATGTTGTCCCCTTTCTTGGTTTCCCCTCTGCAAACCACCATCCCATCACCCATCCTCTTTGCCTCTGAGAGGGTGGTCCCTAACCCACTCACCTTCACCTGCCTCACCCATCTAGTATCTCCCTACACTGGGGCAACAAGCCTCTGCAGGACCAAGGGCTTCCCCTCCCATTGATGCAAAATGAGGCAATTCTCTGCTGCATATGCAGCTGGTTCCCTCCATATATACTCTTTGGTTGGTGGTTTAGTCCCTGGTAGCTCTTGGGGGTCTGGTTAGTTGATACTGCTGTTCTTCCTATAGTAATCCCCTTCAGTTCCTTCAGTCCTTCCCCAGAACTCAGTTAGATGGTTCACTAAGAGTATCTGCATCTGTTTTATTCAGATGCTGGCAGAGCCTCACAGAGGACAGCTATACCAGGCTCCTGTCTGGGAGCTAGACTTAGCACCAGAAATAGGGGTTTGGTGTCTGCAGATGGAATGGAACCCAATGTAGGACAGTCTCTGGATGTCCTTTCCTTCAGTCTCTGCTCCATTTTTTGTTCTGGCATTTCCTTCAGACAGGAACAATTCTGAATTAAAAATTTTTAGATGAGTGGGTAAACCCTTCCCTCAACTGAGGGCCATGCCTATTTACTAGAGGTAGTTTCTTCAGGTTCTATCTCCTCTCTGTTGGGTATTTTGGGTAATGTCATCCTCGTTGGGTTCTGGGAGCCTCTCACTTCCCTGGCATCTGGTACTTTCTAATAGTTCCCCCCATTCCCCACCCCCACTGTTACATATTTTTATTTATTCTCCTGACCCTCTAGACTTCTCTCCTGTCTCTTCCCATACCTGTTCCCATCCCCCCATTTTCTTTCCCCTCTTCTCTCCCTCTCAGGTCCCTCTGTCCCTCTACCCCCCTAGTTATCATACAGCAACAAAAATAATTGTATAGTTCAGAGTCATAACAATATGAGGAACTGTATTAAAGTGTTGCAGTATTAGAAAGGTTGAGATTCACTGACCTAGAGATTGGTGTAAGAACAAGATTTCAGCTTCACAAGTAAGCATCTTGTGATTGAGGCTAAAGTCAGCAAGTTCTGTTTGTACAGGAAGGTGTCAAAATGTCATGAAACTGAAGAACACACTCATCTGTACATATTAGACAACTATCTATCATCTATCAATCAGGCATCTGTCTAATCAGCCTATCTATACACCCACATCTCTCCAAATTTGTGTGTAGTTTAAGATAAGGATCTGTTTTTGTAGGGTCTGGGAATGTAGTCAAATGTCACACTGCTCAGATAGGATGCATGAGACCTCTGGTTTAAACTCAAGTTCCAGTGGAAAAGAAAACTGTAGCAAGTATCTGTTGTCAAAGGATCTTAAATGATTCAAGTGCACCTCAAATAAGTCCTATGCACTTACTCTCTCAGGATAAGCTAAGTTCCATAATTAATTTAAAGCTCAATAATGGAACAAACGTATCCACTCATGTCTTTACATTGGAGAGGCAAAATATTCTCAGAAGAATGAATAACCTCTGGAACATAAGTCAATGAATGAAGAATGAGAGCTGGAGAATAAGCAATTTTTTGAATGAGTAGCTCTGAAGCATGTTCTCTACTGCCTCACAGAGTTTCACACATAGCCTTGGCCCTCACTTGCCTCCAGTGAAGAGCAGCTTGCCAACACACTGACATTTTCCTTCATAGTTTCTTTCTGTGCTCCAAGAGCCTCTGTGTTTATTTCAGAGAGAACTGTGCTAAAACTATTGCAGTCAGTTTTGTTTGTCTTCTTCAGTGAATTTAATCTTAATCCAGGACATACTAAATTATACTGCATTTAGAAGAGGGAGGACTTAATTGCAAACTGATGAAAAATATTTTTAAAAAAAACTTATTTTGTTGTGCCACTGGGCTTGAGAAATTTTAGACTTGTTTAAATATTTAATCATTGGCTAAGTTTGTAAAGTGATCATGGATGCATTCCATGACCTAGTTCTACTTTTTGTTTTTAAACATTGTTTTATTATTTTGAAACAAAGTTCACACTGTAGTTTACATTGTCTAAAATGTACTACTTATCTCGAGTTTGTGTTTAGCCTTTAGGGCTGGGATTTCAGGAGTTAGGAGTATTTGTTTTTTTCTTTCAACATCAATATTCTCTTTCTCACACACACTTTCTCTCCCTCCCTTCCTTCTTCCCTCCACCTCTATCCTTCTCTCCCTCCCTCCTTTTCTCTCTCTCTCTCTCTCTCTCTCTCTCTCTGTGTGTGTGTGTGTCTGTGTGTCTGTGTGTTTGTCTCTTGTATCTGCTGTCTGTGTCTCCCTTAGCTGACTTAAAACTCAGTATGTAGTCAAAGATGGCTTAGACATTGTAATCTTCCTGTCTCCTTCTCCTTTGGGGTAAAAATTATAAGAATGTGAGGAGATGCCTGGCTTTCTTTCCATTTTTTTTCTTAACTCATGCTTTAATCAGTCTGCCTACAAAATGTCACTACTGGTTTCACTAAGTGTGTCTATATTATATAAAATATTTTTTTCTAAATAACAGATTACATGCATTTAAATAATTTTATTTACATAAAATATTAGTTCTTGACCTTTTCCAATTAAGCTACATTTCAAATGTATTACTAACTCAAAACTGATGAGTGTCTCTTTGATGTTGAAATAAAACATAAGTAAAATTATATAGGTAGAAAATTCTGTTTTGTCAATGTTCTAGCTAGTTATACATTAACTTGACTTAACTAGAGCCATTGGGAAGAGATATTCTCATTTGAGAAAATACGTTCTTAACAATAATCTATAGCAAGTTAGTAGTACATTTTAATTAGAAATTGATGTGTCAGTTTTGGTGGTACCATTCCTGGGATGAGTGCTATAAGAAAACACACTGAATAAGTCAGAAGGGGTAGTTCAGCCAGGAGCATACATATCTCCATGGCCTCTGTATCATCTCCTGTTTCCTGTTGCCTACTGTAAAGTTGTTCAGCAATGGATAATGATCAGGGAGTTGTAAGCTAAAATAAACACCTTTCTCTGAAAGTTATAGCTGTGTTGTTTTATTATAGCAATGGGAACCTAAAAAAGACAGAACTTGATGTTGACCTGTAAAGTATTGCTATGTCCAACCTGACCACATTTTGGGGAAAATATGTGGCAGCATTTGGAAATGTGGGACAGAGAAGCCACAGTATGATAGAAGCTTAGTGAGATGTTATGGGTAATAAGAAGATAAACCTGAAAGCATAGGGCTGGAGGAGTCCTGGCTTGTGAGGTCTCACACAGAAGAAACAATGACTGGAGACACTTAGGCAATATTTTGAGTTAATAATATTTGGTTCTGGTCAGTAGCTGATTGACAACAGACCAGCATCTCAGAGGTGAAACCTTTGATTTACTGAGAAAATTGATTCTGATTAGGTGTAGAAGAGAAATTAGTGGTAATTAAGATTACATAAATACAAGTAATATATAGATTGAGCATGTAGTTGTTATGTGTTTAGGAATATATATATATATATATATATATATATATATATGTGTGTGTGTGTGTGTGTGTGTGTGTGTGTGTGTGTGTCTGTGAGTATGTGTTAGCTGATGATTAATAAAGAAAGAAGCAATGAATTTGAAAATGAGTAGGAAGGAAATATAGGAAGGCTTGGAGGTAGGAAACAGAAGAAAGGAATGATATAATTACAGAATAGTCTGAAAAATAAAAGAGATAATTTAAAAAAAGAAAAGACAAGTAGCACATAGTTAAGTAAATCTGGGACTATCTCCTCAGGGTCAGCACGCAGAATCTGTAGCCCATAGCAGGCAGAGGATGCTTCTCATGTTTAAGCATAATGTGGTAATATATATAAGTCACACAAATGGAACTGTAAGGAAATTTAGTAATAAGGGAGAGCACAGAGGCTTAGCACTGATTGACAGGGCTGGAGTACATGAAAAAAGGCCACTGGTGAAAGTGTACCCTCAGCGGCAACAGAAGGTGTCATGTTGTAGAAACCAGAGACCTTTAAGAGAGCTTCAGAGCAACTATTAGTCACATCGCGGCCCAGTTTAAAGCATGAGAGTCCAGAATTTTGGAGATGCTTACGCTGTGAGACAAATGCCAAGGTCAGCAGCAGCCACGGAGCTGTGGAGCTCTGTGTGACATCAGCAGCAGAGCAGCCAATTAGAGTTCAGAGTAT